CCTGCAGGTGAGTGCAAGAACCATGATGGGGAACAGCCCAGACTAGGCAAGGGAAAGGTAACAACCAGCATATATTTGGCATAGGTTGGGGGCAGAGCAGGCTGAACCAGTTCACATCACCTGCTGGAGAATCCAAATAACAGAACAGAGTGTGGGTCAGGTCAGGTGTGGTCGCAACATACCAGTGCACAGTATGGCTGGGATTGGGTGCCTACTGGGGTAGGCTATAACCCTCACCAGCATTCGCTAGAATTGAGGGTTTGTCGGGCTGGGCCAGGCTACAACACCCATTGGCAAATGCCAAGGTGAGGTAGGCCGTACTACACTGGGATACAGTGCCCAACCAGCTCATGAGAACCAGGGTGGGAGGGAGCAAAACTGGAAGAGGGAATGGGGAGGGCTCCCCTGCTGAACACCCACTCCCACTGGAGAGAGTGAGTTGGGAGTGTTGGGAGACCAGACCAGGCAGGCCTACAACACCTGTGGGACTCATGTTAGCTAGATCAGGGAAAACTCAGGCTGGACTGATTGTTCCTACTGGGGCAAGCATAAATTAGAGTGGGTGAGGGTTGGTTGGGCTTTGCTGCAGCATCACATGGCAGATGATAGCACTGGGGGTTAATTCTGTCAAGATAAACTGCAGAACCTCCTGGAGAGTGATTAATCCAAGAGTGGGAGTGGCCCAGCAGTGAAATAGTGGGAGTCTCCCTCTTATGTGTTACCACTCCCACTGGAGAGCATGAAAACCAGCATTGGAGCAGGGGTGGCTAGACAGAACGGCACCCACCATTATGTGTGTGGGCTGGAAAGTGGGGCTGGTTTGGTTAAACTAGGCTTCAATGCCCACTGATATGTATGAGAGCTAAATGGGATTTGGGACAGACTGAACAAGTCTGTGGTACATAGTGGCACGCATGGGTACAAGGGTAGGGGGCAGGCCTTGTGGGAATTGTGGGGAGTATCCCCAACTAGGCTGTAGCTCCAACTGGTTTGTGTGAGGGCCGAGTATGAAATGTGCAGAATCAGGCTGGATTGCAATAACAATTGGTTCACGTGGAAGACAAGGATAAAAACAGAACTGACCCAGCAATTGCTACCACCAGCATGTGCATAAGCTGATTGGGTTGATGGACTGTGCCAGACCCTGTACTGGCAAGCACATGCAAGAATCAGGTTTGGGATCATCTGAGACGAACTTTCGGTGGGGATCCCTGCAACTGATCTGCTGATCTCAGAACCCCACCCATGAAGAGGCTATGTCAGTCTGTGAATTCTGAATAGATTTAATTATGTTTGGAAAGGTGAGATTGGAAGCAATTCAGAACTGTTGAACTATCAAAACTGCATGAGTAGGACACTCAGAGCATGTTCCATGTCAGGGACCTGGGATGGGGTGGGGAGGCTGGTTGGGTTTTTCCCTTTATCTCTGCCCTTACCCCTGATACAGAAAAAGAAATGATATTGAAAAACTAAATAAAAATAAAAAGAAGTTCATAATTAATGGTCCCAGTGTTATCTAAAAAGACTGATAATATCTCATGAATATTAAAATGAACTGTTTTAATTAATGCTTATAACTTTGCAGTTTGGTTTTTGTTTTCTTGTTTGTTTGTTTTTAACCCTTAAATATTGTCTGTTAGAAACTGGCCATTGTACTTGTGGTTAAGACGCTTGTTTAGAATGCTTGCAACTCACACTGTAGTCCCTGGGTTTGATAATCAACCCTGGCTCCTGGCTCCAGTTTCCTGTTGATGCAGGCTCTGGAAGGGAGCAGTAATGAGACCTACATCATGTTCCCGACTCTCGGGTCAAATCCCAACACAGCCTTTGCTGTGTGCATTTGGGGAATGAATTAATAGGTAAGAAGGTTCTTGTCTATATCTGCCTCAATAATAAACTTATAAATAAATAAATAAATAAATAAAATATTTGCATGAGAATATTTGATTTAAATAAAAGTAATACCATGTGAAATAATACATTGATATTTAATTTCTCTAATTTTGCTTGAGATGTGTAATACTTGGGGACAAAAAGTGAAATTGACACAAGTGATGCATTTAACACACACACACTTGACATATATGTAGAAGAATATGCAAAAAGAGAAAAGCAGCTCACAATCTGGAAGATATTCTGATGCTGACCAAATAGTCTGCCTTAGGTTTATAACTAGACATTGGCAGTTTCTTGATATACACTTCAAAGAATATTTCACAGAACATCAGTGTTAGATAAGACCACACCACAACCAAATGAATCATATAGACAACCTCATCATCATGCTTAAATTTCAACAAAAACATAACCATGATCCAAACCAAAAGAGGAACAAGATATTCTCTTAGTTCTGTTATTATTGTAACTTTAAAAACTTATCTATCACTTCTTGTTTTTCTTCCTTCATCCTTCTAGATGTGATTCATTATGAATCATTTCATAGAATTATGCCAGTGATTATGCTAGTGATATCCCATTTATGATAAACTGGTACTTTGTTAACGTGTCAGCCAAAATACATATCACAAGTTCAAAAGAAGTAATTTCTTTCCCTCTTTTGCAGAGATGCCCTGTGGATCTACATTGCCTATGTTCTCTGTGTTCTCTTCCACTGCAATGAATTATAAACCCAATTTGTTCAACCATAGGTTTGCTTCTGAGTGATACTTCTCTTGGGCCAACTAACAGTATCAATAATGAATACATAAATGAACAAATTATCTTTAGGGATTAAAAAACAGGTCCTGGCTGCAGGATCTTGAGCAGCGGGGCTCTGGTCTGGAGGTTTGGATCCATCAGCCTGCCAGGTGCGGGGAGCCAGAGGGGTCAGTTAGCACCAGGCTTGGGCTTGGAGGCTCAGGCCCATTGGCCCACAACATGCTTGGAGCCAGGTGGGTTGGCTTTTCTTGGGGGCAGAGTCCTTGGCACTAGGGTTCAGGTCTGATGGCCTGGGTGCCAATGGCATCCAGCAAATCCATTGGGCCATTTGCTGTGATCTTGAGTGGAGAATTGGAAGATGTTTAAGGGTCAGACCTCTGTACCGGCCCATGTGGGAGACCAGAGCTGGGGTAGTTAGTATCTACCAGTACCAAATACCACTCATTATTGCACACTATCCCCTCTATCTGCTTGATGGATGTTGTAGCTTGGCCTGACTCACACTGTATTCTTGGATGTGCCTGTGGGTGCCACAAACTAGAACAGGCCAACCTATACTCAACAACAGTACCCATGAGTGTTGGAGGATTCCATGGTCATGCCTAGTTCAGCCCATCACCAGTCTCACCTCATAAGCGTACTGGCAGAAATTGCAGATCCACAGGGGTAGGCTCACACATCCCTCACAGAATATCTCCTTTTTACCCAGACCCAGTTCTCTCTCATGCTGGCTAGTCCCATGGTGCAACCTAATATTTCCAGTCCCCTGTCTGACTGTACTATGTTCTAGCTCTATGAGTATTCTCCCAGCCCTAGTATGAAAGCTGGGACTGGGAGAAGACCAAGCTGGACAGGGCTATAACACCTGTCAGTCCACATGTGAACTGGTTTAGAGGAAGAGCCAGGCTAGGAATAACTAATTGTATCTACCAGTACAGGCATGAGCCAGAGTAAGAGCAGGCTTTGCTGCAGTATCATCTGGCAAGTGCTGGGACTGGGGGCAGATTCTGTCAAGCTAAGCTAGACTGTGGAACCACCTGGAGAGTGCAAGATTGGAGGCAGGGAGTAGGTCCATTGGAAAGGCTGTGATCACCTCTATGATGGGCTGCAACTTGCACTGGTGAGCATGAGAACCAGAACTGGAGGTGGATCTGGCAGGATAGGCAGTTGGCACCCACTGGCATGAGTGTTGCCTGGAGGGTGGGGTTGGTTGGATTGGCTTAGGCTTCAATGACCAATCATGTAAACGAGATCTCAGTGGAATGTGGGATAGACTGGACAAGTCCACTGCACATGCTAGAAGGTATAGGAACCAGAGCTGGGAGCTGGTCCAGTGGGAGTGACTGAGGGTCACTCTGACTGGGCGGCAGCTCCCTCTGGTGTATGTAAGGGCAGAGTGTGTGGTGGGCAGAGCTGGTCTGGGCCACAGCACCCATTGGTTTGCAGAGGAAAGAGGGGAGAACAAACTGATTGACTACCCTAGGGAAGCTTGACAAGAAGTATCTGGGCGAATACAGACTCTGAGTTGGACTGTGTTAGTCAATTGACCTTGGAAGGATTTCTTCCTCTTTGGAGCAAGAATACCAAGAGCATTTCAGATCTAAACCACTTGAACACAACCCTCAGAAACTGCTCTAACAAGGGGATCCTGGGATCACATTGGGTGGTTCTCCCCCATCCCCAGGTACTGAGGCATTTGGGAGGCTGGGTGTGGTTTCTCCCCTGATAACCCCACCCCACCCCCCAAATACAGGAATAAGGAAAACAAAATGTGTGATCAATGGTCTTTCCCACTTTCCCCTGACCCTCGACCCTTCCCATGCTGATCAACTATGTAAACATCATTAAAGTAAAATTTTAAAAAGATCAAAAAGCTTTTAAAGCCAAAAAAAATGGCTAAGTGCTAAAATATTTATATGTAAATATATAAAAATACATATATACCAACACTTCATGAAAGAAATACTAGATAATTTTCTAATATTTTAGATATTATTCAATATATTGCTCACTACAAAAGAAGTGATCCAAAATAATACCAGGATGAAAAAAGCATGCTTAGAGAGGTAAATGCTCCTTTAATAAGCACCATGTCTGGATATGATATTCTACATTACAATTTGTTTATTTATTTATTTATTTTTTGCTGACTTGACATGTGGACTTTAATATTTGCAAATTTCAAATGAATGTGACTCTTTCAGGAAATCGATCTTTATCTCTAGGTGGATATGTCGATTAAACACATACAAATTGAAAATAATACCTACCTGTATGAATCCTGAGCACATTGAGCACTCATAGTAAATTCATAAAGAACACTAAAAAAATATAATACTCACTGATAGTTTTTGTAAAGGTCAGTGCAGGTGGAATTGTTCTCACAAGGATTTATTTTACAGAGACTGGACTCTTGTTCGCAGGATTGTCCTTCCCAGCCAGATGGGCACACACACTGGTAGCCCTAAAGAAAGATGAAAACCATGAAACTGTTAGGCTCTTACTATTACGCTTATCATCCAGATAGAATGCATGACTATTAAGGTCTCTCTGCCAGCTTTTACACTTTCGCACTGTTTATAGAATAATTCTCAAAAAAATTACTTGTCAACATTAAAAAATCGCATGAACAATGTTATTTAGTATTATTTGACAAAATTAGAGCAGATCAACAAAATTTGTTCAAGATTTGAAATATGTGTCTGCCAAATTCATAGCACAAATTATTAAATATTTTTTTCCAATTTATTACGTTGTATTATGTGATACAGCTTTTTAGGTACTGGAATTCCTCCCTCAGTCCCCCAATCCTCCCCCATGGTGGATTCCTCCCCCTTGTTGCGTGTCCACAGTTCAAGTTCAGTTGAGATTCCTTCCCTGTGAGCCTATTCCTAGCATAGAGTCCAGCATCTCATCATCCAGACAAGTTCAATAGCTTCTTGGGGAGACCCTCTCTGGTCCAAAGTTAGAGCCAACAAAGTAAAATCCTGGTCAGTTACAAGCCCCAACATAACATCAGCAACAATATACAATATTGTGGAACTGACATAGTATCGAGTAAGCAAGTTCTTAACCACATCCTGTGACCACTTCGATGACATTTCAACAACTGAGGTGTGAAACAGTTTAGGAGGGGAATGCAGAGAAATTCTCAATACCTTGTCGAGGAGTACTTAATCTCCGTGTCCTCTGTAGTGAAGTGTGCATGAGTTTATGGTCATCAGGCTTTCCTTTTTGTTCTTGTTCTCTGCCTATCTATTCTAACTTGTGTGTGTGTTTGGAGGCAGGGGTGCTCTGGAGCAACCCCAATGGTCATTGCAGAGAAGGTGATTTTTAAATAAATGGAACATAAGCAATGTGACAGCAACATGAGCAGAGTTACAGAACTAAACATGTAACTCAGCATACATTTACAAGTTCCAAATTATGATAGTTTAGTGATTATGCTGACAACATAATTTTCAGTATTGATAATTACTTGATATTTTATTTTTAATATTTTAATATATATTTAATTCAAGCTGTAGGGAGAGTGAGGGAGAGAGGGAGGGTGAGAGGAAAAGAGAAAGGAAGTGAACAAGAAAGGAAAATGGGGTAGAAGAGAGAGAATTTTTCACCTATGGTTCACTCCCCAAACACCTACAATTACCAGGATTTGGACAGAGTGAATTCAGGAGCCAGAAACGTTATCCATGCTCCCACATGGTTGTCATGGGTCCAAGTATTTTAACTACTTCCTGCTGCTTTTCCATAAACCATTAGCAGAGAGTTGTATTTGAAGCACAGAAGCCAGCACATCAATTGTCATAAACACAGGAAGCTAGTATTGCAAGCAATAGCCGTACTATCCCCTTAATATTTTTCTAAGGATAGGGTTGACCAACGACAGTATTGTTTATATTCCTTGAAGTACATTTTTGCTTTTCCGATTTTGAGCATATAAGAAACGTGTCAATAGACAATTGCACAATATTTTCTACTTAAAAAATATTTTCGAGGAATAATATTTTAAAACAAGTTAGAGTTTGGGGTTTTAGGGCATCTATAACATAATTGGAGATGCTAAAATTAATTTATGTAGATCTGTACTTTTCAGTTTAGTAGTCATTAGTTACATTTCTCTATATACAGAGGATTCTGTAAATATAGAACACATGTTTGTTTACTGAAGATCTGATATGAAAAAGAATAGCAAGTGTCTCATTTTTATTATTTACATCTTGTAATATTTTGATATTAAAAGTTAAACAAGGCATATTATTAAAGTTAATTTTACTTTCAAGTTTTTTCTAGATGAAGCTGATATTAAAGATAATTCAAACCAACTGGGTGCCACTAAATTTTCACTGGACAAAACTAAGACAGATAATGGTAATCCAATTTCTCCATTTGTGAGTAGAGTTTAAAATTCTATATAATTATAACTACATATGAACATAAGATGCAGGAATTCCTTGAGGTTTAAATATATGTCTAAGTTTAATATAGCCTAGCATCTGGAACAGTTCTGGTGCCCAGAGTTTTCAATAATATTGGTCAAGTGAGAATTAATATACATTTACATATATTCATCCAGAGGAACTGTATGATAGAGACTATCACACCAAGTAATGAAGATACATTGTAGTGTGCATGTCTCTTCCTGAATAAAAGATGGGCTCCCAATGAAACTATTAAATATATCTTGACAATAAGATGCTGAACTTTCTACCATTGTCTACACCTACAGTGTCAGGTTACATTAGTACTACAATTGTGGACTTGTGACTGTTTTTGAACGACTATACTGTTGTAATACTGTATGCAAAATCAGTGGGGGGCTGGATGGAAAATCCCTAAGCATATGGTACTATATCATGAAAAATGAAAAATAAAGAGTTAAACAATAAATATAATAGAAGCAGTGTGAAAGATAAAATTGCCCAAAGTGAATTTTGAGAAAAAATGTTTAAAGTTTTTTTTTTTAGATATGGACAGCATATTTGTTCCTAAAGATCAGTGACACAACATATTAGCCACAAAAACATAGATTCTTCCTTCATGCATGTCTACTTAGGTTCAAATAAATCAGTTGTACAAAGGTGCCATTTGGGTCTGGCTCAATTAGCTTATCCACCCCCTTCAAATGCTTGAATTCCGTATCAGCGCGTTGTGTGCTGGCTGCTCCACTTTCCATCCAGCGCACTGCTTGTGGCCTAGGAAAGCAGTCGAGGATGGCTCAATGCCTTGGGATCCTGAACCAATAGGGGAGACCTGGAAGAAACTCCTCACTTCTGGCTTTACATCAGTGCAGCTCTGGCTTTTACAGCTACCCAGGGAGTGGACTAGCTGATGAATTTTTTTTTTATTTCTCTGTAAATTTCCCTTCCAATGAAAATAAATAAAGTTTCACTCAGTGTCTTGATTTTCAATGGTTATTAATAAGTGAATATCAGAGGATAAGAAGTACTTCATTGTCAATCTTGAGCTTTATTCCTTACATAGGCACTAGCTCACGAAAAGTATTCATTGGTATTACGTGTGGTTTATTGAATGTTCGCAGCAGTTGTTCTCATGTATCATGATTATTAGGAGTAGAGTAACAGTCAGGATTTTCATGGTTGATTTGTTTTCTTCTTTTTTTGTTAACACTGATGTAAAACTTGTATTTCAAATTGAATGCAGATAATATACATGACAGATGAATGCTTTTAAAATGGGTGGTGTACAATGGAAACAATTCCATAACAACCAAGATGACACTAACCATAAATGGGGAATAAAGATTTAGATAGCCTAGAATGGACAGCAGAAGAATGAAAATTATGTGCTAAGTAGAAGAAGCTCTTTAGTTATGATCTGAAAACATACTTTCTTTTTAAAAATGATTTATTATTGTTATTATTATTATTTCAGAGAGTCAGATTTACAGAGAAGGAGAAACAGAGAGAAAGTTCTTCCATCTACTGGTTCACTCCCCAAATGGATGCAATGGACAGAGCTAAGCCAATCTGAAGCCAGGAGCTAGGAGCTTCTGAATCTCTCATGTGGGTGCAGGCTCCAAAGGCTTTGGATCATCATCGACTGCTTTCCCAGACCACAGGCAGGGAGCTGGCAGGGAAGTGGAGCAGCCATGACATGAACTGGCTTCCACGTGAGATCCTGGTGCATGCAAGGTGAAGACTTTAGCCACTAAGATGCCAGGCCAGGCCTGAAATTTTACTTTCCAAAAGGTATGAATAATTTGTGTAAAGAAAAATGCATAAATAGACTGCTTGTTCTAATTCTGATGCATCAGGAATACTTTAAAAAAGTTAGTGAAACGAAAAACCAGTCAAACTCCTTTTGTATTAAATTTCTATATGGTTTAAAAATAAGTAATGTGTGGCATTCATGATGATTTAATAACTAGTGAGAAATGAACCTGGTGTGGTAACCTGATAGCTAAAATCATTATCTCAAATGCATCAGGATCTCATATGTTCATTGGCTAATAACTCAGTTGCTCCACTTCCAGATTCCTACCTGTGCCCTAGGAAAGCAGTAGAGGATGGTCCAAAGCCTTGGGACCCTGCACCTGTGTGGGTGCTCCTGGCTCCCTGGCTTTGGGTCAGCTCAGCTCCAGCCATTTTGGCCACATGGGAAGTGAAACAGCAGTTGGAAGATCTTTCTGTATTTCCTTCTCCTTTTAAATCTGACTTAAAAGAATATTAAAGCAATAATGATAATTAGTGGGAAGTTACAACAAATTTTAAGTATAATTATCTTTAAAGTGTTAGATACTACTGAAGTTATTTCCAGATATAATGGATTCTATACTAACAGAAGTCATAAAAGAATTAAATCAAATTTGCCTTTACATTTTTAACATTAAAAACACAGATGTTTAAGTATGAGTATCACTTAGAAATAATCCACACTGAAAGTATTGGTGTTCATCAGAACCTTCTACATTCAGAAACATTTTTCTACATTTAGACATTTCTGGCCACAAAACATTTTTCCATTCAACACTGATGAGTGAGTTAATTTGTTAATTTGAGCAATTTTAAAGTATAATTAAACACAAAACATTGTTTTACCAGAGAGAAAGGGAATTCCATCTGTTGGTTTACTGTCCAATTGTCCTCAGTGACAGATTAAATCAAGCCAAAATTGGAGAAAATTTAGTTCAAATCTCCATGTGTATGGCCAGGATCCAGCTACTTGAGCCATTATATTTTCAATATTTCAGTAATATGATATGCAATTCAAGTATCCTCCTAACCAGTAGACCAAACTCTTACCCAAAACATTACTTCTAAGATACCTTGCATTTTCATTATGTAATAAAAATGATAATATTTTGGGTCAAGTTTAATGAAAATGTTAATGTGATTAAAATGAAACAAATCCTCATAATTTTTAGGAGCTGCTAAAAATTAGACATTTTTTGCTAAATGAAAGCAAAATATATTTTATAGATTAAAAATATGCAGATAAGGA